AGAGTGTACAACTCTCGACGGACAAGAGGTACCCCTCGGCAGGCCAGAGTCGTACAGCCCTCTGCGGCGGAGAGGGCATTCCTCTCAGCCATGAGTTCTGTCCAATATTTTATTATTTTATTATTATTTTTATTATTTTTTTCATTTTTTTTGGGGGGGACACGACTCCCAAACCTTTTGAAGGTTTTGGAGTTCCGACTCCCAATTTCGGGGTTGGACGTCCTGAAGACCGTCCGCAGACGGTCCTTGCGACGTCCCAGAAATTTGGGAGTCGGAACTCCAATTTCTGGGAGTCGTTTAACTAAGTCCCTAAGAAATTTTTATATTTTCTGCGTAGAAACACAGTATTATTTACCACAACGTCATAGTGAGACTAGTGGGGGTGGCTGAGCTTTGCTCATTGGCAGGGTTCGACGGGTTTGTTTCCCCGTTAGTTTGGTTTGCGTCACGCATTTGGGAGGAAAGATGTTCTAGGTTTCCAGACATGGTAATTATGCGGAGATAGATAATTGATCGACTTTTTAAAGTGTAATAATGTCAGGATCAAAGAAAAATGGCTCGATAGCGATAAGGAGGGGGGGAGCTAGTAAATGATGTCGAGCAGGGTAAGACGGGGTAGCGGCTACGGGAAGGATGGAGCCTGGGGAGCCAAGAGCAGGGAGAGAGGGGTGCTGATAAGTCTCAGCACCGAACCACGCTGTCTCTCTAGGCCTCCTGTAGTAAAGCGGTATACGTACTTCCGGTATCTCCTCCGATATCGGAGGCCTGGTCGCGGAGTACGATAGTCTGTAGGCCAAGCCACTAGCTTGGTTATCAAGCCCTAGGACGGGTACAGTACTACTTCCGGCCGGCCTTAGCCGGCTGCTTGGACAACTCCCAACTCCCATTGCATTCCCGTCAAGATACCATACCAGGGGCCGCACATACTCTATGGAACCTCTCGCAGGCAATATACTTGGCTCATTGGGGTAATGAGAAACTGGCCCGTGATACTGGGGCATGGAGGACACTTCATGCTCTGGGAATTCCAACAGAGAAGCCAGTCACCAAGAAGGACTTCAACCTGATGCTGGCTCATGTTGAAAAAATCCATGAGGCAACACTTTTGTATTGTGTCCTGTAAGTGACTTTGTAAATTGGGCTAGATATGGGGGAAATACTGATCAGAGTGTGGTCTGTTTATGGGTGTTGTAGTTTAGTTGCAAACAGAGCTCATGAGCCATTGACGGAAACACTCCTCAAGGTCTCAAGTGAGAATATAGATGATTGGGTAGAGCTCACATATGAACGCTTTGCCACACGTGAGGCGCTGGAGTCAGATTTGTCGGCAAACTACGCTGGGCACAAGAATTTGCTACTTCGAATCCGAGACTTTGCGACCATTGTGGAGGCCAACCGTTCAATGAAAGACGGTGATTATGGCAGGCTAATGTTAATGTGGCAAAGGTGGGCTGTGATGAGCCAAGGAATTGGGGGCATGCCTCATTACTCCAAACACCTCCCAAAACTCATCATCCTCTTGCAGTATATCTTACCCAAATCTTTATCAGAATTGGTCATGAATACACTTCTCTTGTCCCCAACCGGCAAGGCGGGCCACTTTGTTGCAACAGACTTCTATCTTGAGGTTCAAAACTATTGGCTGAAGTACTTCTTCAACCACTCAGGTATTGGCACTGACATAGACCGTCTCAAAGATATATTTTCAAGTAACATCAACCTGGTAAGCAAATGATACACATTAAGGTTATAAGTGGCTAATGAGGGGACTGTTACAGCTGCGATACATGTTACAGCTCATCAAACTGGAATCAGGGGCCGAGGTCATCAACCAATCACACAAAAACAAATTAAATATTGACTCATTTAATAACTTCCGGAGGATGGCCAACCGCGAGTGGATGGGTCAGACACCAATAACTGGGAGGGAACCAGATGCTATTGATGACTTCTATGCAACAGGAATGGGAAAGATAATGAAGGAATTCATATCCAGTGGTCTTGATCGGTTTCGGCCTTATTCAAAGGGCATAATGTCCATGTATGACCACGATGAAAGCTCAACCAAACAGGCACCTGTCCCAACTCAGCTGGACCATCAAGATGTCAGTGATGATTCCTCCAGTTCCGAGAGACAAGAGTCAGAAGATATGTGACAAACCTGGTGAGCCTCAAAGTATCATCCTCCCCTCAACATTTCATAGCGTGACGCCTCCGTGGACGAACTGTTGTGTCCTTCACGTAGGATTTTTGAGACATTGTGCTGATTCCTTGTCTGGACTCTTGGATGCGAGTGTCTGGCTCCTTTAGGCCCCACAAGGACTGCCTGGATGTTCCGTCGGACTATAACTGAGTTGGCGAGTTTTCCAGGGCCATCAGACGCCTTGTGGCTGTCACTTGGGGGGCTGTGATTGTTGGAAAGTTTGTTGTTCACTAGGGATCCAGATGGCCCCACGCTGTCCTGGGCTTCTGTTTGCAGTTCAGCAGGTAAACCATATGTTACCTCGGGCGCCTCTTCAACTGTTACGACCATTCCATCATCCATCCTTGTATCTTCAGTAATGATTTCCCCCAAAGGATTTTTATTCCGACCCGCGCGGTTTTGAGCCATTTGGGCTTGTCGAGCCAACTTGACTTTTGCGCGGCCTAGAGGTGATTTCTTCATCTTGGGTACCTTGAGTCCGAGCCGATGTGCCTTCTCAGCCGCCCGTTCCGCATCCTTTTGAGCCTTGGTCGCGGCCTTCAATGCAGCCCGTGCGTCAGCCTCAACCTTAAGTCTGGCCAATTTTTCTTCTTCCTTACTTGCCTTGTAGGCGGCCTTCTCGCTATGTAATCGGGCCCTCTCTACCGCCTCGTCACTGGCCCTGAGCATGCGAGCAGCGGTTCTGGCCGCGGCAGCAACCTCTTTCGCTTGAGCTTTCTGAAGCATCTTGGCCTCCTTGTCCGCCTGCCTCCGAGTGGCCACCGCAACTTGAAGACCCAATAGCTCTGCCGCCATCTCCTCACGCACACGTACGCCCTCGGCCTCGATAAATCGGTCAAGCTCAGAGATGTTGCGGAGGTGAAGTTGATAGTATTCGCCATTAGTCCATATGATCATAGCCATGCCAAGGGCATCAATCTGTCCTGAGAAAGTCTGCCCGCCAATCACTGTTTCCAAAAGGGTCAGGTTGTTCGCACCATTTGAGTGAATCTGATCAATTGAGTCAACAATTGCCAAAGCTTGCGTCCGACCAAAGAAGACCGACGGAGGGAATTCGGCTCTTGGCCCCAAGTAAGCAAAGTAAAACTCGTCAAAGCTATGTATCAAATGATTCACCAGATCCTCGGCCACGTGTTTGGGATAGTTGCATGTCCCCTTGGGCCTGTTTTTTCTCCTTTTTCGGGTCATAGTCACTATGTTAGGGTCCTTTGTGATTGATGATGGGTCGTTCATAACAGAGTCAAAGTTGGCCACGGTCAGCTGCTGCATCACATTCACAAGCACTCTGGCCTCTTCTGGTGCACAGTTTGAGCATTTGCACTTGGCAAAACCCAGCCCCTCCTCACGTTTCCTCTCTTGTACCACTTTGGGGTCGCCCAGATCGAGGGGGATATAACCTAGCCTGGGCAATAATCCCATTTTGAATGATCAGCCCCCATTTGCATACAACCCCGGGCATCACAGAATGTGACCTACTTGTTATCCAAATTCAGGGCTATCCGCAAGCACACGTTTGTCACAGCCAAAGCATCCATCCGTGAGTCATCGTCTTGTTCCAACTCCATATCAAAATCTGAGGCCGCATTCCGGCCATTCTTCCGCGTGGGTTCCATGAACAACAACCCAAGCCCAACATTCCCATCTCTCCCGCATCGCCCAACCATCTGTCCAATAGCCGCCGGGTCGCCTCGGCCCATGTGTATTACACATCGTACCCGTTTAAGATTCTGGCCAAGCCCCAACGCCATTGTTGCCGAAATCACAGGGACCTTCCCTGCCCCAAAGTCTTCCATTGTGCGAGCCTTGTCATCATCACTGGTGACCGAGTGGTATCGGCGGATAAACCGGTCGTTTGGGTCATACTGGTGATAAGGGGTCGCTCGTGCCTCGTTGACAACTTTCATCACCTGGAATGTTCGATTTCGGGTGCCAGAGTAGATAATCATGGGTACCGAATCGGCAGCAGAGGTAACAGAGAAAGGCGCAAAAATACGAAGTAGATCGTCACATGAGCTTAGTGTTGACCCCATTGATATGCGAATCAGGCGAATCTCTGGGCGTGTAAGTTCCCCATCAATCATGTTTATATCACTCGGCTGTAGCATAAGGCTTCTTGTGATTGCTGACATGGCCACAGGTCGACATGTTGCTGAGAGCAGGAGGACAGGAATGTTGTTGGTTGCCATGAGCCTTGTCCCCAAGTGGCCATAACCGGGTCGGAAAACTGCCTGATCTTCCAGCCGAGCAAATATTATCAATGATTTACTTTGTCTTGATGCGAGCAGACCCCAAAGGTAGATCATGTGAGCCTCGTCCACCACGACCAATGATAGTATATCTTGAAATTCCTCACTGAAAAAGAGTTCTGTGAAGAGGGAGCTGTTCAGGAAGACTTCAGGGCTCTGCTATCATAAATTTGAGTCAGCCAATTGTACCTCCTCATTGAAAATCTGGGGAATCTACTTGCCAGATAAACAAAACTGAAGGCACCTTGCTTGATCTTTTGGACGGTGTTGAGGTTCAGAGTCATCTTGTTGAGGTTGATTGCACTTATATTTACAAGTTTCTTCTCTCGAACCTGCCATGATACAATTCAAAGTCAATACCCCCACTTGGACAAGATCATGTACAGTTCAGCCCCACCTGGTCATCACCCAACGAGTCCAAGGGATTCAAAACAAGAACCACTACCTTTTTTTCAAACAGGCCGAAGTACATTTCAGAAATCCTGGTCTTACCGAACCCCGTCCCGACTCGAACGAATGTATGTTTACCTCGAACAAGCGAGGAGACCGCGTTGACTTGGAGGTCCTTCGGCTGGTCACGATACAAATCAATGGAACGCGAGATGATATGTTCCTCAAGTGCTTGATCAGTCATTGACACCAAGGACTTGGGGAGATCGTTTGCCTTTGAAGGAATCGGGTTTGCCTCTGATCGTTCGATAGTACCACGGCGGCCCCGTGAAGAAAAAGCAGTCGGTTTACTCGATTTCTGGGTAAGCATCCTTGACCCCACGGCCTCGGGGAGTTCGTTCGCCTTTGGAGGAACTGGGTTGGCCTCTAATCGTTCCATAGTACCAGGCCGCCTCCGTGCAGAAAAAGTAGTCGGTCGTGTCGATTTCTGGGTGAGTGTCCGGTTCCGGTCTTCATCTCAGCTCTTCAACTATGCATCACTGTTATGTGCCTGTTTTATTATGCATTTACTGTTCATGGCCAGCGACTGTACCAGCGACAGTATTCATGCAGAATGTCTTGTACAGCAGGTGAGGCACCTAGTACAGGACACACCTCCCAAAGACCTCCGAGCCATGCAATCATGAAAACCTCAGTGGACCGGCGATGGGTCATCTCACCAGCTGATTCAGTCAAGTGATCGACTCTCCTGGAAAGGCCCCTCAGTTTGGTGGGCGACTTCATCCACCGATGTTGAATGATGAACCCAGCATAGTGAATCAAAAAAAAAGCTGATTTTCCTAATGCTCTCGACCAGGCAGGTCTGCCTTGCGCATAAGTCCCTCCTTCGGAGGGTCCCTGCGGGACGGCGTCCCCCCTCCACTGGGAGGGACTTAGTTAAGTTAGCAAGGAAATACTGATACCGGTATCAGGCTCAAAATAAATACAATACGATCCAATACGAATACATGTCTCGTATCTGTGGCACCGTTGATGCTCCTTACCCATAGCTTATGCCTTCTCTTCTAGGGGGTTAGAAAAAAAAACTGATGTTGACTAGCCGCTAATCATCACCCCATCATCATTTGAAAACACAATTGAAAGAGAAGACTCAAAAGGTGGACAGGCAGATATACCAACTCAGTCTCGACTTGACAGATCATAATCCTTGCCAGAATGTTTCTTTACTAGCTCTGTTCTACTTTACAATGGAGATGATAACAGGAGAATTTCCAGATCATTAGCAATCTGGCAGAGCCTTGTGTAAACAGACAGGCCAATCTTTCTGTTTTCAATTATTCACATAGGAGGTGAATAGCACCAGGTGAGTGTTATCCACCAGAGATCCCGCACAACAGCTACTACTTTTCACATCAGTCACCCTTGTGAAATATATACAAGTTTATATGTTTCTTCTCTCTTTATTCCTTGAGGCTGAAGCAACAGTAGACTCATGAAAACTACTGTTTGCAAAATAAGCAGAAACCACAACTGTCAACACCCACATACATCTCCTTTTTCCACCAATAGTTTAGGTCACATTTGGCTCCATAAATATAAATTGGGGAGATATCTCAAAAGTGGCTGATATTACGCAGCAAGTTTTAATCCTACTTGGTAGATTCAAACATCTATCCTCATATGAATGAACTCAATGTTTCAAATCTCACATGTATTCTTATCTGAAATCATCAGGCTAAGTTCTGGACAAGCTACATTTCCCTGCAAAAATCTGGACTTTTTGGGTCTAAATCACAAACTGCAATGGTCCCAGATCCAACGGGAATTCCTCCATTATTTAATTGACTAAATTTTATTTTTGGAAAAGTGACTGGTTTCTAATGGTGGATTTCTTGTATCTGATACCCCCATTGCTTACATATACTGATCTGTGCTGAGTGCTTTCTGGGTGCCTCCCATTGTTGTATGGCTGTTGTTTCATAAGATCTTTGGTTTTGGCATGCCCCTTCTTGGTATTCCAGAAAGCCACAATGCCATAAACATCCGCTATAAACTTGTTCAAATTGGCCAACAAAGAAATTCTTCATTTTAGCTGATATGTGACATAATATCTGTTACATGTTGAAAAAAATTGGGAACATGTTTTGAAATGTTGGTGATACATGAAATATTATGTGTGACATGTGAATTATTGTCAACATGTTGTGAAATGTTACCATAACATGTCCACAACATTTTGCAAAATGTCACAGACATTATCTCACATATTGCCAAAATTTCACAGCAGTAAAAAAATAATGATTTCCTCAGCTAAAATGAAGATTTTCTTTTTGGCAATTGTTTGTGGTGATCTTGGATGCATCCCCCTTGTTACAAAATCTATTGAATGGGGAGCTACCTAATTGTGAATTCACTATCAACAGCAATCAATATCACCAGGGTTACTATCTGGCCAACTTGATTAACCCTGACTGGGAAACACTGGTGAAAACAGTCTCAAATCTTCAAGGGGCAAAAGGCAAGGTTTAATTTACTTTCCCTGTTGCTTGGAACTGTTTGATTATCTACATCATAAACAGTAATTATCAAAGTTGCAGGAGGAAGCTCAAAAGGATGTTGATTTTGAACATGCATTTAGAGTCCTTCAATCCTGGTTTGCTATTGTTGCACAACCAGCACGCCTTTGGATTCAAGAATAAAAAGGAAATCAATCATGAAAGATTGTGTCATCCTCCACAAGTCCACAACATGATTGTGGAGGATGAACAAGTGGTTAATCAAGATTAAATTCAGGGGGTCGCAAAAATGACTCCCAAAAATTGTCCGACGACTCCCATTTTGGTTGAGGGGTCGTCAGACGGGAGTCGTTCTTCTAAATCGATGGCCGACTTTGGGAGTCGGCCATCCAATTTCTTTTTTAATTTTTTAATTTTTTTTTTTTTTCGATTTTTAGGGAGTCGGCGCCCCAAACCACCCCTCATGCTTGAGGGGGTTTGGGAGTCACTCGCTCCCATGACCGGAAGGATTTCCTTCCGGTCAACTAGAAACAAAAATCTCATTGACTGGAAGGGATTCCTTCCGGTCAATGAGATGTAACAACCTCATCAATTGGAAGGAATCCCTTCCAATTGATGAGGTTGTTATACCTCATTGATCGGAAGATTAAATTAAAAAAGAAATTGGATGGCCGACTCCCAAAGTTGGCCATCAATTTAGAAGAACGATTCCTGTCCGACGACCCCTCGACCAAAATGGGAGTTGTCGGACAATTTTTGGGAGTCATTTTTCCGACCCCCTAAATTTATGATCAACCATCACAATATGAATCTACTCATCCAGTCATTACACTGTCAGCTGATCTGTCTGTTTCATAAGCTGGTCCAACTGCAGAGCACCCTCACGTCGTCTCAACATTCTGCATTAAATCTGGGGTTGCAATGTATGCTCAATGTGTCACCCCCATAGTCAATGTTAATTACACAAGTTTTAAACTCCAGTTTATCATCCCCAAGGTACTGTTGAGGTTGAAAGAGGTGACAGAATTTCTAAGGAAGAGAAACCTGTGAGATGGGCAAGGACATAGTCCAAGCACATTTTTGTCAACATATAATATTTATTTGATATGTAATTGATCAACTGGGGACATAAAACTAGACTATAAGTGGCTACAATACAGGATGAGTTATGTGTGAAGATGGTAGAAGCATGCATTGGATATATATATACTCAAGCATCTCAACAGGTACTATCATTCACATCCCCTGAATTGCACAGCATCAAGTCTTCTATCTTTATGGCTGAGTACACTGTTATGGAGGTGCCAAATGGGACCTCATAATTTTGGAGCAGTCTGAGAACAAGATGTTTGGTAGGTGTCTGGACTACCATACCAATTTGGTCAGTGTGGAGGCCTTTGAAGATGGATAGGAGATGTATTTCATTAGACAATGTTTGTTGATAAATAAAAAGAAAATGATGACATGAAGTAATTTATGCACCTAGGAGAAGCAACGGTGAAACAATGCAATGTGATACAATTAGATATGGTTGCTTTGCATCCGGATATCCGGATGCAAAGCAACCATCTCTAGATGCGATAAATAGCCATGTATTGGTATCGCATCAGAAAAGTGATGCATTGCATTGGAATTGCATTGAAAAAGTGATGCATTGCATCAGCATTGTATTGGAAAGCAATGCAAACCAATGCCACAAAATTATAGTGCATCACATTGCTTTGCCAATGTGATACTGATACACTGCATCAAGGAATCCAATGCAAGCAATGCAATGCGGGGCCCCGCATTGCTCTTGTGATGCAATGCGACAAAGGCCCAATACGATGTGATACCTATGCATTCATCGCATCAGTTACATCATTGGGAGAATGTACTTGAACTCTAATGAGATTATAGATAAAAATAAGAGAAATAAAATGAAATGGTAGAAAAGAACACCTGTGATTGCTGCAATTGGTTCTCTTTGTCATATTGGGATTGTTAGCTATAGTAAGGGAATCACACAGTAGTGTTCTTTCTTATGTTTGCTGAATCTTTTCTAGCATATATCAGTGTTTTATTCTATACAAGTGTCAATTCCTGTTCATGATCCTTAGTATGTGATATAGTACAGTTACTTGTTGTTCTATTTCTTGTCTCATGTGAACTTCATGATCTCAAGACATACCTTTGGCTATTCTTTCTGGATGGCCTTTGATTTTTTGTATGAATTTGTCTTTGTTGTTGACAACTCAAGATTAGAGATGGCCTCAGGGTATCCATTGCGGTCCCGGATACCCATTATCCGCTGGCAGATACCTTCCAGGCCCAACTGATACCTGACAGAGGATTTGGATTTGGGTACGGATGCCCCATTCTCCTTGCAATCCTGGCGGGTATCAACAACACTGCCACAGATACGATACACTGTGTGTATCATGGAGAATTCTGCAAAGCTGCATGGCCAAAAACCAAATTTGTTATATCTCCTTGCAAATAAAAGCAGTTTGGCCAGATAGTTTTTTTTTATTGGGGCTCAGATACATAGTGATACATGGCAGATACGGGCAGATACCGTATCTGTGGCAGCGTTGGTATCAAGGTATCTCCAGGGATACCAGTCAGAGGGACCCGGACTTGAGAGGGGCTCCTCTTGGCCTGGAGACTGTACCGTCTCAAGGTCAATGAGGCACAACCTTTTTGACTGGAAGGTCTTCCTTGCGGACAACGAGGTACATGTACCTTTTTGACCGGTGTGATGTTCTAAATGGTGCAGGGCCTCTCAAGATTCAATTTCAAATTTTAACATTTCACCTTATCAATGTCCTCAAGCCTCCAGATCTCAAGATTGTCACCCCAAATACCCTTTCAGTCCAATGGTTTCCTCATTTTATTATTTTATTTCATTTCCTCTTATTATTTCCTCTTCATATTATTTTTTTATTCATCTTGATTTTATTTTTTTTATCATTTTATTATTCTTACTTATCTTTTTCAAATCACTTACTCAGAAGACAGTTTTGTTTCTTATTGCTTGGTCCTAAGACATAGTTTCATTTATGTTGGTTTGTTCTTAGTTTAGTATTGTTTATTCTTCCTTCACCTGTTAATTTTTTGTTGGATGTTGTGTTGTTGGTTCTTTCATCTTGTTTGTTTGTTTGTTTGCTTTTGTCTTGTTTTTGTCTCTGGTTGATTTGTGTTGTAGTTAGGGATGTGATGACATGTCTGTGACATGTCACTCCCCAGAGTCTAAGTTCAAGCTGAACTTAGATAAGGGGTGACATGGCATTCTGTTCTGATCCAAGAAGAGACCCATCATTTTTGATACAGTGGCGAAACCCATCCTACTGTACATGGATTTTGGGGTTCCAAAATGTTGGGAGCAAAAAATCAAGAAAATCTGCCCTGGGAAGGGCAGGATCCTAGGAAAATTTAGGTTTTGGGGCTTGGAAATTTCAGAAATTGTGCAATTTTTGCCACTTATTTGGAAAACATTAAATCCCAGGGTCAAACTATCATGTTTGGCAGCAACAAAAATGTAATCTAGGTTATAATTTATGCACATAGCTTTGGTGGGAGAAACCATACTTATGTGTTATCAGAGTTAAGTACATGAATATGAGACCGTAGGGTCATTTAAGCCCATGGATTCCGAAATGTTGACCCCAAATACAATTTTTTTTTGTTGGAGCAGTGGGGGCTTAGCACTTTTATCTATGGAAGCTACTGCCCTCAAAAAGCCCAAATCTACAATAAAAATGGGTGATGGACCCCAAGTGCCTACAAACATTAGGCCAAAAGGCTAAAAAATGTTTTGCTGGTGATGGTGTACATTAACATGGGTTGCGTCACTGTATTGAAACCATATTGATCCTGATCTTCTGAGATATTCTCATCTCAAACCTTCTTACCCTACATTCCATCCAGATCCTCAAAATCAAACCACACCGCCTGCAGAACTCAATTCTGCTGTCTTCTGACAAAATCCAACCCCTCACACTTCTCATCCGGACCTACAACAAGGGCAGCTCATCAAGCACCTTCCCCTGAATCAACTGCCACCGGCCAGCACCGTTGGAGTTCCACACTGGAAGGTTTTCCTTCTGGATGACAAGGTACAGTGGGTGGACTGTTATTTTTGGCTGCTTGTTTTGGGTTCTACAGTTTCAAAGCACAAACTTCCAGTCACAAGACTTGGTGAATTGGTGCAGAATAGGTCACAAAGTGTTTTTTTCAAAAAGCTTTGTTATTGATTTTGGGGGAGTGGGAGTGCTGAGAGAAATAAAGAGTGGAACATGACAAGAATGATTATAAATGAAAAAAATTGGAACCAAAAAGGGTGAGCCAGGGTGGTTGTCCAGATTGGATCCAAAACAGTAAATTCTAGTGCTTAAGTTACTACAATGTGAGCTGGTGAATTCCCTACTCAACAGCTGTTTAAAACCAACTGGTAACCAATTTTTTAGAATTTTCATTTATAATCATTCTTCCCATTTTCCATTCTTTCTTTCTTCCAGTTCTTCCACTCCCCCAAAATGAATATCAAAGCTTTTGGAAAAACATATTTTTTGTTGCCCAGTGGGGAGCTGAGGACCCTCCCTGTGATGATCTGGTTCACCTCAAAAAAATGAGAGGAATCCAATGGTCCAACTCCCAAGTCCTCAACTCAAAAACCGTAGGAGTTGGACTGTAATGCTTGGATTACTGTGGCTGTACAGAGCCCAGTGCAGGTCAATAAGGGACAAAAAAATGTGGCTGAAAAAAATAAATTTGTGGTTTGTGATGAAATTTGAGTCAATGAGGGGAAAAGGATTGGTGAAGCTGACAGCAGACAATGTCTGAAGAGGCTATTTTGCTCCAGTAGAGTGGGATAAAGTGCACTCAGGCTGGACTGAGACAAGGCTTAAGTGTTGACTCAGGATCAGAGAAAATAGCTAAGGGCTGATTGTTGCATTATCTTAGTATCTAGTGATCGTTAAGTAGTCTAGATACATGGAGCACAAGTTGTGGGATCAAACACTAATGCATAATGAATAAGCAATAAAATCAACAATTCTTGACTTGTAATAAATGAGTGGAGGACTTCCCGTCGGATCTGGGACCTTCACAGATGTCAATTTAGACCCAAAAAGTCTAGAATTTTGCTGGGAAATCTAGCTTTCAAGGCCTCCAAATTGCTTCTGGGAGACCCACAGATTTGACAGGAAGTTGTCCAGTGACATGTTAGAGAAACAAAAGAAAACAGAGAGAGAGAGATGTCAAGCAAAATTCCAACAGTTTGGAGCAGTCCCAGGCAGCGGCAATTGAAACGTCCCACATGATTGTCGTCTTGAGTAAAGATTGACCCAAGCACCCATAATCTGAAATGAAATGCACACTTTTGGAAATTTTGAGATTGTCTTGTACTGGTTGTACCTGTTTGCCGAGGAGAACTACCCCTCGGGGTTCACCCATTGCCAAATACTCACTGGGGAGGAGCTCTCCCCAGCCATTACTTTAGGATTCCTGCTCACCGAGCAGAGGGCCTGCTAGTGCTGGGTGAATGGGTGCACCTTGTAATTGCTCACCGAGTAGGAATCTTCCTTGGCGAGCATGTGGTGATTGACCAGGAGGTATGTTGGCTGGCAAAGACACCTTTGACCTGCTTTAATCCAGCGGGGATTTCTCCTGAGCCATCAATTTGTACTTGCTCTTTGAGGGGGGATCCTGGCCAGAAAGTGTGTGCGCTTTGTCCCAATTGCTTGAGAAAGAGCTCCCTCGGTGAACCTGTACAAGGTGCTCGCCAAGGAGGAATCTTCTCCACAAACCAAGGAAGCTTCCCCCCAAGCACAAAGCAGGCGCTTAGGGATGCTCCCTTGGGAGAAAGTATTCTTGGCTAGCAGGTACAAGCCGCCTGCCAAGGTGGAAATTGAATCCAGCCCAGCGAGTAGTTCCTAAGGTGGAATCCAGCCCATCGAGGTTCCTTTTACCGACTCCACCTCCAAGGTGCACCCACCCGGCAAAGCTGGAAAGGCCCAAATGGGTAGTATGCACTTGCGCAAGTTTTTTCCCGTTTTTTTTTTTCGTTGTCATGGTTCCGATGGATTATCATGTAGGACGATTCAGTCTTGCCCCAGGCAGCAAGCCTTATGGGAACTGCTGTACTTGGTGTTATTTCTTCTTGTTTGTTCATTTTTAGTATCTCAATGTGAAAATGTGCAAAACTCCCTTTGAATTAAAAGTACAATCTAATTTTCTATCTCTTCACTTCCTTTGTGTAGTTCAAAAAGGGACCGAGATTCTTCAAAAACCAAGAAAAAAGATGAGTGCAAAAGTTGCACGTTTTACAAAGAGTTCATTTGCAAAGAGCAAGGCGACCAGGAGTGGGCAAAGATTTTCCCGTATATTTGGCACCACCAAAATCGGTGTGTAAACCAGCTCTTGCGCGCACGCGAGCTACCTTACAATTACTAGAGGGTAACGGCTAGTCCTCTCAGGTGTCAGTTGGACACTTGTCAAAAAATATTGAAGACGCGATGATGATCCAGAGGCGCCGAAAAACGAATGAGGAGTTGAGCTGCACAAGGCGGACGGGAGGCGCCGAAACGGGCGAAGTCGCAGTGCGATTCTATCTGGATCAAGTTTACGGATAGCGGTTGGAGAGGATATGACTGCCATCCGAAAAGTAGCCCAGTGGGACAGTACAGAGACTTCTTTTCCGTGGAGATCATCCTTGCCGCCCCTGACAGCTTGCTGCTCCTGACATCATGACCGGCGAAAAAGTCAGTCTGTCGGCCACTTACGCTTCCAGCTCGCGCTCGTCAACTGAGTCGTTACTCGTCTGGTGAGCCAGGAAATGGTGGCAATGGAAGCTATAAAATAAGAGGCCATATTCCCGTTCCTTCAAACTTCATTAGCCCACTCACACATTCACTGACAAAAAGTATTTATCCCAACCCAACCCATTCTTTTCACCACTCAACCCAAACAACAACCCCCACCCAACTCCACCATGCGATCTTTTGTTGCCGTTGCCTGCTTCTTGGCTGCTTGTGAGTGGATCACTGGCAGTCTGCTTCGCCCTTCACACACATGCTGACCTTCCTGTATCTCTTCCTTCGTTGTGCAGTCGCTGCCGCCACCCCGGTTGAGTGAGTGCCCTGATTCCAATTCCCACCTCCTCAACCAAAGGAAAGTTGACTCATGTGTTCTTTTCCCTCCACCAGCTTGCAAGTCCGTCAGGTGTCTTCCAGCGTTCAAGCTGCATCAGGCCATGACGCCTCACATTCGAGCACGACCAACAGCAGTCCATTCGGATACTCTCACCATGAGGCCAACAGCGAAAGCTCCTACAACCGATACAGCTCGGTGACCAACTCCATGGCACCGGTCTTCGGCACCATTGGCCAGATCCAGAACCTGATGTCGCAAGGCAGCTTCTCTCAGTCTTCTGCCATGAGCTACATGTCTCGTCTCGCTCAGCAACTTCAGCCTGCTCTTAACGGCATGCGTGGATGTGATTGTCTGCAAGACGTGAGTGACATCACATGGGATCCTATCTTTCCCTACTCTCAGCCACATCGCTAACCGTTCTCTCCACCATTCCTCATCTCAGCCCACAGTTGTGTCCTCCTACAACCGCATGTTCAGCCAGCTTTACCAGCTCTTCCAAAGCTTCCAGTCCCAATACGGCCAGAGCTACAACCAAGTCATCGCCCGTACGTTCCCTCTCACTCAAAACTCTTCACCTTTTTGTGTCCTTGTGATTGGTGCCCCATTTGTCTCCAATTTACATCCACTCATTCCTTTTCCTTTGTTTCCTGTTGTCTCAATCAGCCTTCAACGGCCTGTACAACAGCTTCTCCCAGTTCGCTTCCGAATCTCACCAATCCCAGTCCTTCAGCCAGTTCTCAAGCTCCTTCAACCCCTTGGTCAACATGCTCGGAAGCGTCAACCCTTCCTTCAGCACCCTTGGTCAATTCTAGACACTCTCATTTCTTCCCCCTCCCGTGGTGATTTTGTGGTCTTGTCATCCTCTTCTCGCTTCACCCATGTCATAGGTCTTCACAGTCTTCGCGTTGTAGTCCAATCTCTCTCATTCGTTTGATGTTTGTCTGTGGTCTGTCATCGACGTGACATGCTTCTTCTTAGCCAGTCGGTTCATCACTGTCTATTCTTTCATTCCTGTCGGTTGGGATTGTAATACAATCTTTCAGTGAACAGTACCTCTTCCGTCCCCCGTCACCCTGAGAAGAGCCAGCCATGAAGATTTATGAAGGAACATCGTACGCTGCTGGTTGTAAGCAATGATCGAATGCCCCTTCCACATCAATTTCGTTGAAGCGCGTACCACGAACATTTCTGAGGGGCGTCTGTTGAGCTTGTACCACTCGTCAGCTCCTACTACACACTAATTTAGGTGCGAGCAACTGTATTCCAACAAAGCGACTCGCTGTATGGGGCAGGTAGGATGGATTGAAAAGACCACCATCTTAATGGCACTGATTTTTTCCAGAATTTTTAAAAGAATGTCTCTTCATATTTGCATGCAATTCCACTCCAGTGGCAACTCCCAACCCCAATTCTGGGGATTCTGCTCCTAAGGCTGTGTCGTCTGATGACACTGAATTTATCCAGCTTTTAAGAAGAATCATCTCAACTTCGCCCTTTGTGATCACATCCCGTGAGTGCAAGGTAGTTCCTCGCTACAAAATTCAAATTGGCCCAACTCCAAAGGTCCGTCCAAAATCCAGTCAGCGCATGCAACAGGGAAGACAATAAGTGAAGTTAAAAGCCTGGTGAATTTGGGGTTCATGCAATTGCACTTGAAACACACCCTCAACCCAGGCACTCTTCTTCAGACCAACTCTTTCAGTGTGATTCTGATGCCCAGGGTGTGTGGTTGTGGGTTTCAAGTGTTTTGCTCAGTTTGGAGTTGTGTATGTATTATTATGTGTTTACACGCCATAACGGAACATGTCAACCCCAACCCGAGTCCCAAAGCCGGTGACATTCGCGGGGGCCTGTTTAGTCCGATCGAGACAAAACCGTTTTAAATCCTTGAAGGTCAGTTTTATCTTGCCATTTTCCCCATCAAAACCTTTCCTCTGGAAAAGACCTTTTGTAATTTGCCATATCCATCGGTTCAGCCACCCACCTTCCCCCCCCTGCTGTTTTTTGTTCGTACACAACCCATATTTTTGATCGATCATCCTGCTCTGATCAACCGTCGTCAAATCGGCTTATACACATACGACAGGCTGTTCGGTTGAATTAACTTCTCCACTCTCCATATCACTCGTCTGACTCATCCACATCCGAGAGCCCAAAACTCTTAAACCCTCTTCCGGCGCTCTTGACCGTCTTTCACCCCCCCCCTGCCCTTGGCCTGCTGCTGCTGGTCCCTCGTCTTGACCTAAACAATCAACACAGCTCGGCTTCCATCGATCCAGCCTACCAAAGCCCATCCATCCAAACCCACCGCTCCTCCACTTATCCTTCCCAACTCAACCACTGCTTTCCCCTTTGTTCTTCAAATCCAATGGCCGAAGTCACCTCTCGTGGAGGTGGTTTACCTCGTGGTGCTCCTCACCGAACTCGTGGTCGTGGGCGTGGTCGTGGGGCATCTAACTCGACAATCTCCGGTTCTCATTCGGCCGCCGCTAATGGGCTTGAGCACAAGATTAACGGACACTCTTCTCATCCCGAAAGGTCCTCTACTCACCGTCCGGTCGGTAGTCAGGACGAACCTGAAGAACTGAAGCTCATCCGAAAAAAGCATGGCCACAACCTTGCAACTATCAAAGAGTTGTTTCCCAATTGGACCGATGAGGACCTACTAATGGCTCTCAACGAAGCTGCTGGCGACCTAGAGTTAGCAGCTGCCCGGATCAGTGAAGGTTAGTCCGATTGCTTTCCCCCCCTCAACCTCTTTCGCTTCACTGGGCTATTTGGATTTGATATGGATCAGGAGAGTAGTACTAACTTGTATTCGATCGTCTATCTATTATTCCTTTCCCTCCGTCCATCTCTATCTAGGCCTCGCCGAAAAATGGGGCTCGGTCAAGACAAAAAAAGAGAAGAAGACAAGCTCACCTGTCCTTCCTTCCTCCCAACACTCTCGTGGTCATGCTCCTGCGATCAACAGCCCTGCTGAGGGTCGTGGTGGCCGAGGTCGAAGTGGTGGGGTTTCGTTTTCTTCTCGTCCCTCTTCCATCAGCATCTTAATTAATGTGGCCATTGACGAATGCCTCTCATTTCTTTCAGACGTACCTCGAGGCTCATCGCGTGGTGGTGGACGTGGAGCTGCTCCTCGAGGTGTCGGGCGTGGCCAATCGTCCACAAACCTTGCTCGAGGTACCCATCCTGCAGCCGATGACCCGTCAATCGCCATAACAACCCCCTCGAGCTGGAGTTTAGCCGTGACTGCGCCTCACAACGAGTCGACCAATCCATCCGGTCCGTCCGCCTCGCTGGCCACGATCGGAAACGACCTGGAACAACCCATTGATCTGGGAATCACTAGCCAAAACGTTGGGGCGTTGCCACCTGCGGAGCCCAAGTGTGAAACAATTCCAAGTCAAGCAACTCACGATGCGAACCAAAATGGCACAGCCGTATCTGAGCTCGCCAAGAAACCCACAAGTCGTGTCATAACCCCCGGGACCAAAATGAGTTGGGCTCAAATCGCCAGGTTTCGTTGTCTTCCTGAATATTCCTTGCTTTGCCTTTGTCTGATGGTCCTTGTTACCACAGGCCGGTCGACCCCCCCAAGCCTCCTGTTGCACCGGTTGTCCCGGCACCCACATCCATCGGTCTCTTATCCGGAACGGATGTGGATTCGGATGTCACAAAGAAGGGAGCACCAACAGACGCGCTGGCTGCTCAAACCACTGTCGACTCCCAACTACACGAGGGTCAAGTGACGATAAGCATTCCGGACGCGACGGCGGATGTATGGCACACTGAACCAGTGCCAGCCATGGACGAATTGAAGGCCAACATCTCCGGTACCGGTCCGAATGTTTGGAACGATGACCCTGTCCTCCAGCCACTCGGTGTCGGAGAGGGGTGGGCAGAAGCCGTTCTCGCTCAACCGAACGAGAGCACCACTAGCATTTTCGATCAACAAGCTGCCAGCAAACTTGTCCTCACCCCCTCTGACGCTCCCAGCATTGGACCGATCGAGTTGACGACGCCGTCTGTATCAGCGCCAGTGCTTGAACCAGCCGTGGCGCAACCGACAAACGTTACTGATCGCGGCCTTCATGTGCCCGAGCCAGCATCAATTTTAAACTCGGGCTCCAATCAGTCTAACACCCTTCCAACTACCTCCATTCTTGCTCCACCCGGATTAACCAAACGTGCCAGCACGAGAAAGGGTCAGGATGCCGCAGTTGTAATGCCAGGGAGTGGAACTCCCACTATGGATAGGATGGGATTGAAATTCGGCAGCCTCAGTTTATTTGGCGAAGCCGCTGAAACAGGCGAAGCATCACAGGTTCAACCTCTTGATGCCCCAACACCTCCTGTACCTATCATTGAGGAAGCGTTGGTCAAAGAGTCTAGGTACCTTAGTTTCACATTTATGAACGTTATTTTCCACCCAAAGATTGACATGTTTCGAATCATTTAGCTTGAAACCTGATGACAACCAGGTTGAAAAGGCATTGACTCCTCAACCGACCGCAGAGCCAGTGAAATCACCTAGTCCTCCAGTGGCTACCCAACCGGTGGAAGAACATGTGAGCTTACTCTTTTCTGACAAGTTAGTGATCGATCCTTATCGTCTGACTCCTTGTTGCAGCCGGCGCCCCCACAGCTTAGTCATCAACCTACACAACCGGTGCAACACGTTCAACCTCAGCCTATCAACCCACCCGCTGCGGCTCCAGTTCAAGCTACCGCTACCCAACCCCATTCCTCCAGTTTCAACTCGCGCTATCAATCAAATAACCAGTATGCTGCCCCAGAGCCTAGTGCAGTCCAGCAGCCCAACGCCACCTCGCAAGCTCCTCAACCCCAACAACAGGACGCTTTCTCGCATTATTCCGGCTTTAGACAAGACCCAATGGCGGCTTACTTCCAGCAGCAACAACAGCCGCAATCTGCACTCGCTCAACATTCCAATAGTCCTGTCCCTGCCAGTCAATCCCCGGCGGCATACGGTACTTTCAATCATATGAATCAGCAAGTCCCACAACAAAGTCAACAACCCGCCCAAAGCTCTTTTGGTCAAGCTCCACAGTCAGTACCGGACTATGCAGCTATTTACGGCCAAGACGCGCTCAGATCTCTGGTTAGTAACTTTGACATAGTAGACTTTGCCGGCATTTTCTTTTGCTAATCATGTAACTGTGTTGTTGATCCATCTGGGTTTTAGGGATACTATGACTCGTACGCTCATGCTCAAGCCGCCCAAGCCGCGTTCCAAAATCGTTCACCTCACGGCGCTGCCGATGACTCGTCGAAACCTGCTGCTTCAGCCCAAACAGCTCCGCCCCCAGGTCAGCCACAAGCCGGTCATCATCAACACCATCATCCACCTCAGCAGCCACAGCAGCAACAGTCACAGCCTTCTGGAACATCTGTTAGCACCGCCGCCCAACAGTACCCTGGTATGCAGCCTTCCCCGATGCCCTACCCATACTATCCTTACTACCAACAGTATGGTCAACTACCACCGAACTATCAAAACCCGGCATATCCATATGCGCTACAAGCCCCTTCTCCGTACTACTCTGTTCAGGGCTCACAGCAGTACCAAGCTGCAAACACCCGAGCGGGCCAATCCCAGTATCCAATGCAAGGTGGTCCCGGAACTAACGTCGCCGCAGGTCCGAATTCCTTGCCGATCTCACATGGTCACCAGCAGCAACATGCGTCACAACACGGTCTCGGAGGTGCGGGGGTGGTTACAAACAATGCTGGCTTCCGACAAGTCTCGCAACCAGGAGTTGGTGCAAGCCAAATCCCAAATGGGCAAGTAGCTGGCCAAGGAATAGGTGGAGGGAACTCAGGTTTGGTCGGTTCTGGAGGTAGTAGTGGAATGCCAACTAGTCAGCAACCCAGTTCGATGCATCAACAACATGGATACTACGGAAGTGGCTATGGCGGTTATGGCGGAGATCCTCAACAGACTCAACAAGGCGGTGGAGGGATGGGTAGTGCGGCCAACAACAGCCATCACCATCATCACCACCATCAAGCACAGCAGCAACACGTGTCACGCCAATCCGGACATCACCAGCATTCTCATCACGCTGGGACTGTGCCTACGGGGGCCTCTGGAGGTGGACAAGGTGCAAATGAACGCAAAGATCCGTTCACATTTGCATCTGACCGATTCTTCAATCAGTAATTGTCAGACTTCATAGGCCTTTGTCAAACAAAAAACAAAAGAACTGATAAACACTCAGTTGCTTTGTGGGTGGCTTTGCTTTTTAGTAGAGGATTAAATTTGGAAGAATTACACATCCTCCCCAGAAAAAACCAAAAACACCCACACTTCCCCTATCAACAAATTGAATGACGGAGTTTGCTAGCAAAGATACGAAATGGCAACCAACTGCTCTTTTTCGTCTGACTCATCTTCTTTTTGCTGTTTTCTTTTGGTCCAGTTGATGATGTTGTAATCCTTTTTTTGACTCTTAAACATTGGTTTTATATCTTTATCTCAATACACCCTCTTCTCTACTTCAGTCTGCTTCCTCTGAGCCTTGAGATATCTTATGAAAAACACACCCCTCCTCTTCTAATATTAAGTCTGCTGTTTGGCAAAGAGAGAGGGGTAAGAGCAAACAGAAGTAGAAAAAATTTGAGTGGGTCCCTGATTGAATATGATGACTGGCTGCAGTCTGCAGAGTCTGTCTAACTTCTAAGTCTTGTCCAATTGACTCGGTGCCCTATGGAAATTGTGGTTCGTGTATGTTCAGGGGTAGGGTAACAGCAGGACAAGCAAGCCACCATGTACGAATGTGGGCAGGAAATCATGCTCATTCAAAATTGGACTGAACAGATCAGTCTCAGAGGGAATGGGAGGAGAATTTTCTTCCTCTAATTCCGACGTGGAGGAGGGGGAGTGACCTCCTCCCAACCCATTGGACCAATAGATATTGGTTGGAGGCAATGTGAGAAATGAATATTTGCCCGAGGGCTTTTAAAACTCTCGAGGAGGACAAATAGTTTCCTCCTCTCATTCCCTCCAGGCCAATATATATTGGTCCCTGAGGGACTGGAAGGAGGAGCTTGGAGGAACAACATCCTGCTCTCATTCCCCCCTTGGACTCATAGAACTGTTCCAAGGGGTTGAGAATCTCCTCAATTGTAGCTCAGGTAGAGTGTATAGTTGAGTGGTACCAAAAATGCTAAACTACAGTTGCATCACACTAATAAGAAACGTGATATAACAGTTTTGTTGTTGAGTCCACCTTGTCATTGTTTTTTTTTGTTTTGAAAAAATGTTGGTGAAAACGTGTCACCCCACAAAGAGTGTCCTGAACTAGAGATTCAAGTAGCTGGAATATTTTCAAACCTTGAATCATCACTATGATCCAACAAATATGTCTCTGCACACTTTTGCAAATGGTTTAGCATAGTCTCAGGCGCGTCAAGAGCTCCAAGGATCAAAAACACAAAGACGATCATGAAGAAGAAGATTTTACAATTGTCTGAGATGAGTTCATGGGGTGCGAGAAAACAGGCCCCCTCTTGATTTTTCCCATAGGCGAACTGAGACAACACCCTTTAAATCACAACTTCTTCCAGTCCGGCATACCAGCCTCCAACATTTCCTGCTCGCCGTTCTCGAGCACCCATTTTGAACGCGCAGCGACCTCGTTTAGTTGAACAGCTCTGACTTTCTCCCTGGAAAGTGACGGGCTCATGATGCTCAATTGTTTCTTCGATACCTGCAGATAATTCCGCGGTGGAATCCTTGGGGATCGATTCCATCTCACCCTGTCCCAGGGTAGATAGTTCGGCCGAGGGTGTCGGTTGGAGGGTTGTTTTGCTTGGGATTATAGATTGACGCGTCGATTTCTTCGGGTGTGCAGGTTTTGAGAAAGAGGGTTGAGGATTTAAGAACCATGGATTATCTAGTAACTCATTTAATTTGGATCCAATCCTTTCGGCCCCGCCTCTTGAGCCACTGAGGTTCGCAGCATCTGGACCTAATTTGAGGAAAATTAAGCACTCAATGAAGTCGGAATAAAGAACCTCGAGTTGATCAATGTCTTACCTAGCTCTAAGGCAGCGTATGCTCCCATCACAAACAAAGGCAGTTCTTTCCCCCACTGAAGGTCTTCCGTCAGTAGAGGGAGACCTTCAATTACCCCTGGTACATTGACAGATTGTTTTTTCGACGAGTGTTCCGAGTGATCGTGTCGCTGTGGACCATTTTCAGGATGCAACAAAGAAGAAAGAAACGGTATAGAGCCGAAGTCGAGCTTTCCACCCGTCGCAGCTACAATAAACGTAACGTCCTCGAGGACTTCGGGTTCGGCTTGCTCAATACGTTTGGTACCGTTCGCGGGATGATGAACTAAATGAAGTGTCCATTTTCCAGTACTGTTATCCCGCATCGCTTGCGTAACAGTTGTGTGCGTTCGTAAACTGAGCGTCCCTTCGGCTACGCGTTTTTTCAACAAAAGCAAAGTCGACGGATTCACCGAGCCGCCATTCCTAGCTTGGCGGACCATCTTCAAGCGTGCTGCAAAAGCGGAGAAATATTCAATTTAATGGATGAAGAGTCTTTCTAAAGAAGAAAGAACACTCCATCAAGGTAGGTTATGCTCACCCATCGGACAATCCTCTTGCCAAAACGACATTTTCTCCAGATTGCTGTACTTTGTCACCCAAGACAATGGAAAATCGTAGTGCTTGGCTGTCACATTTGATCAACGACAACGAGGCTGCCCTTCAGCTATCGTCTGGTATCGAGTCAAAGATAACCAAGCAAATAATAATTCTTACTTTTCAGGTAACCGCGGCAAATCAAGACTACCTTTGCGGCGCCTTTTCGGATGGCTAGATCAGCTATTTGAGCTGAAGTAAGTCTACAAGTGTTCCGAAAATGATCAGTGAGTGGTCTCAGACCAGCCATTTGTGTACTAATTTAAGTTAACCGAGAGAGCATACCCTCCACCAATGACGACAATGGTCCCTTGGTTTATTGATTTACTCGCTTTGACGGCTTGTTTGAACTCGTGGGTTCCCCCGTAAGCAAAACATCTAGAATGGCACCATCCAGGGCCTTGATGAGAGTTAACATTTTTGCTAATTAAACTCTCCGGTTGAGCGCAATCACTGATACATTTCGGTATTGCCGGACACTCTTGACCTCCAATTGACATGACCACGAACTTGGCACCGTATCTCTTTCCTTCTTCGGTTATGACCTGGAATCCCCGCCCCCGTCCCTCTGTTCTAATATGAAGGTCCCCGAAACTTATTGATTTAACTGTGTCTTGTCGTAAAACTTCGTCCAAATGATATCTTCGAATCAATGAAGCAATGATAAATATAATGAGTCGTGTTGTTATCCTGAGGAAAATACATAAACTCTCGTAGTCAAAATCACCTTTCCACTAATTCTTTCTGACAAAAGTCGCGAAAAACTCCTGAGCTAGGTCTTGCATACGAACTTCTGTCTCGTTCATTTATTTCAGCGCCAAGTGAAGACTTCACGCAACCCTGTAGACAAAATCAACGCAAGAAAATTCGATCAACAAATCAATTTATTTTTCTCCATGAGCGAAGAATTTCTCTAGAAATGAGGCCTACTTTTTTTCTAGTTGCCCGTTTTCGGATCTTGTCAGCGCCTCGTTTTGATTGCCCCACAGTGGGTAAGACATCTTCTACCCCGCCTGAATCGACACACTCGTTTTCGCGATCCACTCTACGCGCGAATGCCTCCAACCCATCGACATCGGCAGGAGATGGATGAAAAAACATTGGGCTTCTTAGATGTGGGATGTCGAGATGGTGAAAGAAGCCGTTCCATCGCCCCAGCCATTGAGGGGAGCTTGCATCCAGCGCCAATAATCGTGGGAATGAATCGTCATTAAAATGATCTCCCACTTGCTCTCTGAGCTTACTTGGATTGGGAGCTCGGAGGTTGTAAGGTTTCTTAGGCTGATGTGCAAGTTTGACGGCATCCGGTCTCTGCAAGAAAGCCAATCTAGAATGCTCTATATCCGTGTAGAGTGCTGCTGGACGAGGCTCCCTTAAGCGTGCGGCCAAACCAAGTGCATGGGGCCCTTGTAAGTTGTATAAATGGAATAAAGCAAAACATGAGCATGTTGGGAGCAGATTTCAACGCGTTAGAGGGAAAGGATATCGGGGGGGGGGGGGAGAAAGGTACAAATTTACCTCCACCAATTATCAAAACATCGAAGAAGTCTTCCGGTTCAATGGTTTCGATTGACTCGTGTAGATAGACGGTTTGGGGTAAGGTCATTTTTGAAATCTTCACGAGCAAGGATAACTCTTTCTAATGTGAATAAATTATACGTTTGTTTGAAGGTGTTTCTTTGAGATGAGAGGGGACTAGTCACACACAAAGAAGCAAAGGAAATGCAAAATTCAAGGAGTCTAAATCAAACTAGTAACTTGGGAAATTTATGGCGGAAGATATTTAGTTTCCACTATATGAGTTAGTATGAGTTGGCAGTGCAGGAAAAAATACCGGCAAACTAGTCGTGACCCCTGAGGTTAGATATGCCTGGGCCGTTCGAAATATATCAGGATGAAATGATGATAAACCATGATCTTGAGAAATTCGAACTCAATCCACTGACTGGTGTTCGATGGTAACCGGAGGGGTGTCAACGGGTACCCTCTTGGTTATTTGCAAGGGTTTCCCCTTTGTCAAGCTCCCACTATGATCATTATATGCTCGGCGCGATCACCATTGTGTAACTCCAGTATGTATGTAGTAGACTCCAACTCTAAACAAACATGACAACCTGGAGGGGAAGGTGTAACCCGAAAGAAAAAGAGATAAATCCACCCATTTTTGGTAGGTCACTTTCCCCAGCGTACCAGCCCCCCTAAGGCTTCCAGTGCATCATTATTTTGGCCTCGAGGTCCGCCCTATCAATGGAGAGGGTAAACTATTTATGGTGTTTGCTTGGTTGCTAAAGGCCGCAAGCTTGTTCAAGCCAAATGATCACTTGCGTAGCCTGCAAGTTCTATACCTCTTTAAATGCTCCGACCCATAGCCAGCATTCCGTAGGACATGGCAATCTCCTTCCCCAAAGGGGGGACAGGGGATGTGATTACTGTCACCAGAGTTTCACCTAAAACATTTAACACAAACTTGGTATTTATTCATAATTTTAGCAACACATTTGTTTAGGGCCTTGGCTAATTGACTGCCAAACGTTGGAGAGCCAACTCCCAAACCCTGAAACCCCTGAATTTTCCACCGATTTCCCCAATAATTGGGAGCCAATCCCCCAAACCTGTCAGCAGGTTTGGGAGTTGGATCCTGAAGAAATTTGAGTCAGAGAGGGGAAAAGTTGGCAAGGCCAAAAGCAGACAAAGTCTGAAAGTTAGCTTATAAACTTATTTGAGAGGGCTGAAGTGCTCTCAAGATAAAACTGAGGGAGGCTCATGTGTCACCTCAGGATCAATTTAAGCAAGAAATGATGGTTTTTAATTTATTGTATCAAGCTAGGCTTAAATAACTACATACAAGAGGGCCAATTTGTGGTCATGGCATTAGAAATGTTAATGAATATTCAATATAAAAACAAAGATCAAAATACTGTGAAACCTCATTTGGGAATGAGTCACAGAATTTCAACAGATCCCCAAGAATTTTAATTGAAAAAATATATATCCCCTGGAGGGGTTGAAAGTCAATGCCCCAAAATTGAATGGGTTTTGGGGGTCGGTGAACCAAAAATTGCCCCCAATGGCTGGGAGGATTCCTCCAGGCTGCTGAGAGCACACTCTTGATGGCCAAGAGTGTACACTCTTGACTTTTGAGAGTGTATACTCTGGGTCATTGTGGGTGCAAACCTCCACAGCCAAGAGTGTACACTCTCAGCCGTCAAGAGTGTATACACATGGCTATTAAACTCTCAATGGTTGTTTACTTCTCAACAGATCAGGAGTGTATACACTCTTGGCCGTTGAGAGGTACATTCTCAATGGCCAAGAGTGAAACCCTCTCGACCCATTGAGAGTGTACCTCTCAACGGCCAAGAGTGTATATCTCAGCAACTGAGAGTGTTTCACCCTCAGCCCTTGAGGTGTGCACCCTCAACAACCAGGAGACTTTCTCTCGGAAGGCTTTCTCTCTGCTATGTATCCTGCATGTTATGTGTAACTCAATGTATGATAGACGTGAAGTTTTTAGGAATAGAGGTGGGAGTAAGAACCCAAACTACAACAAACAAAAATAACCTTGGATCCAAGGGTGAGCTGGTGGAGCAAAAAATATCTATTTTATAATACACTACAGGAGCACATTTAAATTTTTGCTTTGGAATTTTTTGAAATTTCTCTTGCAGCAAAGCTTGTGGGTTTTCAGCTTTTTTTTTCATCCCCGGCCCCACCATTGCAAAGTACCACAGACTACCCACTTGTTGAGATTGCCTGATCAACTGAAGTCATATGCTTTTAATTTTTGGGGTGTGTTGGTCTTGGCTTGAAAAAAGGATTGGGGAAAAAATGCTGCAAAAACCACAAGCATTTGTGTGACAGCTGTACAAAGATTTTGAAAAAGTTTCTGTTTAGAAAATATGTTTTGTAATTGTTGAAGCTTTGGCAAAAAAGGCCTAAGAATGATATTTGTAAAGTTTTTGCTGAAAGGGCTAATGTGCTCTCAAGCAATACTGCATGAGGGCTTAAGTTCTCCTTCAGGAACAATTTAGAAAGGATAAAGAACCAATGACTTTTTTATTTCTTGGTATCTGGTGTCATAAACAGTCTAGATACAAAAATGCATGAGTTGTGGGAGCTGAGGAAAATGCATAATGAATGAAAAATTAACAAAGCAGTCTTTGAGAAAAAAATGAGTGACATCTAAAAAAGAAGAAAGAAAACAAGTGAAATTTCAACAGTTATTCTCACCAAACTTCAATAAAACACATTTTGAAACCCACTTTCTAAGATTCCTATCCAACATAAATCCCATTCAAATGTGGATTGTGTCAGATACAGCAGCTCCCAGAAAGCTTTTGTTTGCAAGCTCCTGGGATCCGATTTTATTTTATTTTCACTTTTTTGCGCCTTGTAACCTGTACACATGACTGTACAGATTGAAAATCTGCTTCTGAGGCCCTGATAGGCCTACACCTGTCATTTGCCTGGTGGGGGCTGGGGTACAGTTGATGGGATGGGCACTTCTGACTCAAAAAAACTAGAGGAATCCAATGGTCCAACTCCCATATCTCCAACTTGAATAATGGGAGAGTTGAACTATGATGCATGGAATATTAAGGCTTTACAAGGCCATGTACAGTGCCTAGACAGTGAAAAATGGTGTCCCATTTATTTTATTTTGGAGGGCAAGGAGCCACTTTTCAACTCCAATTTTTTTGTCACAGGGGCACAGTGGGTCAGGGAAAAAGAATATAGAAACAAATTAATTACACAGGCAATCAAAAAATAGATAAAAATTGTTGAAAAAAAACAAATTTTGTAGTTTTTTCAATATTGATGTAAAAAATACACAATTTGGAGGGGGGATGCGCTGAGAGTGGAGAAGAAAGAATATAAAAAAAAAGGTAAAAAAGTTTTTTTTTATTATTGTTTTTTTAATTTTTTTCTTTTTTCTTTTGTCTTTTATGCTTTTTTTATGTCTTTTTCATTTTTTTTGTTCAATCTAAGTAATAAACAATACCATGGAGTGTTATTCTACCATCGGGTGGAACCACCCTTTGCCTCAATGACAGCCGCCATCCTATGCGGCATTGATTCGATGAGGTGGTCAAGGATGTCGTTAGGGAAGTCAGCCCAGGCTTGGTGGAGGGCCTCGTGAATCTTGAAGCTGGTGCCGATCAGGTTTTTGGCAAGGTCTCGGATCCAGAGCGCTTGCTTCATGGCCTGGTTGTGGGCCATGAAGTCCGCCTCAAATCCTGAGAGCGCGTAGTCGGGTAGTCTGCGCGATCCGCAATAGATGGGACATCCGTAGAGTCGGATGACATAGCCATGGATTGAGGGCAGAGTCGGGCTGGCCCAACTGGCATCGCTGTAACAATCCAGCGGTCCCGAGCTCAAAGGATTCGGGACAAGATGGAGTGTAACTTTCCGAGTTCGTGCCAAGTAACGGATCAAATGGTGGAGTCCATTCCAGTTGTCTACCGTTGGTTTTTGCGAGAATCAGGCGAGTGTGGCGACACCGTAGAGCATATCAGGACAAGTCCTTGCGGCGATTGCGGCGAGACGTTGCATGGTGGAGAGGTATTCACTCGAGGGTTTGTCGCTGAGCTCTCCAGACGAGGTGGGTGCATAGCCTTCCGGCAACAAGCGAGGTTCCATCCCAATGTTCTCGGACAAGTTCGTCGACTAGTTCGCGTTGAGAGAGACTATAGCCCCCAGAGATTTTCTCAATGGTGATGCCAAGTATCTGCGGGCGTCTGCTTTTCCAATTGACCTCCAAACTCTTGCTGATGAGCGATTCCAAGGCACGTAACACTTGTTCAGAGGAAGCCATAGCGAATGGTGGTGATGCCGACAAATACTCGGCCGCTCGTCTGCTCTTCTTTTTGCCTAGCTTGCGGGGCGATGTCGAGAGTTGGGGAGGTGGCGGAAAGTAGATACATAGGAAAGAAAAAAAAAAGACTTACTTTCGCTGAGTTTCCTGTCCGTCGGTGTTGTTTGTGATCCAATAGGGAGGGAGTGATAGTGACTGGCTGGATAGGGGGCTGCAGGGTGCACTTGCATAAAATATGCAAAATCACCCTTTTCACCCCGCGCCATTTTTCACTGTCTAGGCACTGTACAAGAAGAAAAAAGTGAAGAAAATGTGATGCACAAATAAAAAAAATGTGATCCCAGGAGCTCCCAAAAGCAACCTTTCTTGGAAATGCTGTAGAAAACCTAAGAACTGACTTTTAAAACACTTTTGAAATGCTTTCAAAATGTTTTGGTGGAGAAAACAAGGTGAAAAAAGATAATGGTAGGGGATCAGCTGACTGGGTACCTGTGTGTTGTAGAACACTTACAAGGCAAAAAAAAACACATGTGAGCCTGGTTTTCTACAGTGACAACAGGACACAAGGTTTGGGGGGCACTTTTGATTTATTTCTTAAGAGAAAAGAGATAAAAATAAAAGTAGAAGAAAGGGAAGAAGAGAAGAGAGAGTAATGAGTGATATTTTTGTTGTTAATTTGTTTTATGATGAAGATTAAAGTTCTGGCAGTCTTACTTTCCTTTATAGATGGCTGTTATGAGTGGAGCTAACTCTATGCCTCCAAACAACGGTGGGCCAGCTACGCTAACCGCAGCGTTAGCGTAGCGTAGTGTAGCAAAAAACCGCTACAAATTAGCGTAGCGTTAGCGCTTTTCTCATTTTCTGCGCTAACGCTACGCGCATGGGGAAAAAACTTGCGCTAGCGTTTAGCGTAGCGTTAGCACAATTCCCCCCATCTGCGCTAACGCTACGCGCGCAGGGCGCAAAAAACCGCCCGCTACGCTGCGCTACAGCAGTTTTTAGCGGTTTTTAGGCGTTTTTTGCCGCTAATAACGCTGTAGCGTAGCGTAACGCAGCGTAGCGGCGCCAGA